ATTGCCCAGTTCCGAGCCTCCTCTCTGATCAAACGTGCTGATACCTTCGTCAACTCCACGGTCCTCATCTTGGTCATCTCGCCCTGGACGTCTCCTCCACGAACTCCTCTCGAAGCTAAGGATATCTCCATCGACGTACCGGCCTCGATCTTGTCCCCATCGATGTCCCCTTGGCAGTCGGTCTCGAGAAACGCGTAGCCCTGCCTTACAGTCTCCAGGTCGTTCGTGCAGTGAACAAGCGAATTGCCCCTGGTAGACTTCAGGTTCATCTGCTGTACCGTCGCGCTCTCGTCATCGCCGAAGCGACACGTCGACCCCTAAGTGAGGCGTCTTCCTCATCTTGATGAGAGCAACTATGATCCCTAAAGCCGTCAACTCCAGCTTCTCCACCTTCATGCGCGCATGACCGTCAAGCATCTCCAGGGCCGGTATTGACAACAGCAAAGGCGTCTGTCCCGTAGATATCTCCGTCAAATGCGCCTCGCCTCGATAACCACCGATGCCGGTCGGAATAATCTAAACCTCGCCCCTCTGCTTGGAGCCGCTCGCGAAGGTGAACTGGCGATGACTTCCTGTCGGTCGGCATGCCAACCCAGGAGGTAGATGCTGCTCGAAACGCTCTCTCCAGTACTTGCTGCGCATGCAAAGGGCACAGGCGGCGTCGACTAGCGCCACCGCGCCAAGGTTCGTCCGGTGATACTCGTCATCGATGCCGACGGCGAAAGCCGCCCTGCAGTTTCCCAGCTGCGCGAAGCTACGCTGGTCCCCAGCGCTGAACAGAACGAGCTTGCGCTTGTCGAGCTGCTCGGCGGCAACTTCTGGCCGCCCCTGCGCGGGCGCCCCGGCCAGAATGGCCCCCGTCCTTGACCCGAGGAGCTCCCCGAAGATGTCGGGGGACGCCGAGCTCCTTCCTTGGCCTCGCCCCTGCCCAGTTGCGAAACGAACGGCTCTCAGAGCCGCCCTTGCGCAACATCACCTGGCCCACGTCGTAGTCGCATGTACCCTTGCCCTTCGTCGAGGCGAAGAAGTTCGGGCACCCGTAGAACTCGTTGCCGTAGGTTTTGTTGATCTCTAGCTCCATGCCGACCTTCTGGTAGACCAGGCACGCGAGCTCGCCGACGTTGCTGTCCTCGTCGATGAACTCCCACGCGGATGATGCCGCGATGCCGCTGAACTCCCACTCAACTTCGGCTAGCTTGGGGTGTCGCGATTAATCTCATTGGTGATCTCATCCTTGAAAGTCTGGGTCCTCCTGCATTGCTCCATCTCCGCGTACAATGGGCACCCGGCGTCTCCACCGTGGCGCCCGTACTTCCCGCAATCGCCGCACTTGACGTCCTCGCCTGGCGACTGCATCGACGTACCCGAGCACGAAGAACCGGCCCTCCGCGCGACGCTGCAGCCCTTCATGACCACGGCGCTGCCCCAGTCGCACTCCCTCAGCCTCTCAATGAGCAGTTCGCGCTTGCCGCTCACCCGAAGGCCTAGGTCGCTCAGGCGCTTCTTCAACCCGTACACTTTCATGTCGTCGTAGCTCGGCGAGTCGGCGGGCAGGCGGGTCTCAAACGCTGTCGTCTTCTCGAACGCGGCCGCCCTCGTCGGCGCTGCCTTTAGTCGCGCCGTCCACTTGGGCTTGGCGGCCGACTGGGGAGCTGCCGCGGTAGCAGCCGACCCCTGCGACTTCCTCCGATCATCGTCGTAGTTCCGGTTGTGGTAGCCGTCGCTGTCCCGCTCGTCCTCGACATCATCGTAGGCATCCTCGAACTGGCACTCGTCCTCGGACTGGCGCTCGTCCTCGGACTCCCACTTGAAGCTGCCCGAGCCGTCCTCGCCGCTATCCTGGATGCCCTCCCCGGCGACCGCGTAGGCGCCCGCGCTCACGTCGGGCATCTTCTCGTCGTCGTTCTCGTCGAACGCGAAGTGCGAGTGCTTCGGCTTGCGCGGCTTTGCCTTCGACTTCGTCACGTTCCCTCTTCCGCCGCCGGTGCCAGCTTCTTTCGCCCCTGTTGTCCTGACTTCGGGCATTCCTTGTCGCCTGCCCAGTGTCCGATGCGGCCGCAGGCGCCGCACCTCGCGCGCTTCTTCTCCTCCTCGATCGCCTCTAGGCGCTCCTCGAAGGTGACTTCGCCTTTGAAGAAGCCCCTCTGCTTCTGCGTGTCCTTCAGCATCTTCCGGGCGGCCTCGTCGGCCGAGTAGGCCTCGCAGACTTCGTCGTCGTTCGAAGCTCCGGCGTCGCTGTGGTTACCTTCTTCCTCGTTCACGGCGTCAGCCTGCTCGTCATTGTCGAATTCTTCGTCCGAGATCTCGCCCCCGTCGTCCTCGACCTCGCTCGCCTAGCCCATTTGATTCCGAGACCACTTGTTCTTGTTATTGCACTGCTGCTGTCCCAGCTGGCGCTTTTCCTTTTTCATGAATATCGTGGAACTTTACCCTCAGCGCGCGCTGGAAGCCCTCCAGCTGGCACTCCGATCCGCAATTCATGACGCTGCTCCTCGCCCGTTCCTCGCCGAGGCCCGCTCCGTCGCGCAGGAGGTACGCCATCAGGTCGTCCGAGAGCGTAGTGTCGGCATCCTTCTCCACAAGATCTTCCCATAGCTTCTCCTTGTTTGCCAGATTTTATCCGATGTCGGTGTCACGCCTCCAGCAGCTCTTCTTGAAAAATTGTCGAACGCGATACACGATGGCCTCCTTATCGAGCGTGGCCAACGCGTCGAAGATCAACTGCTCGCCGCTCTCCCTGCGCAACTCCACTGCGTCGGTGACAAGCTGCTCCGTCCTCTTCCAGGCCCGACCGTGAAGTCCGTCCACTAGCTTCACCCTGAAGCGGCGGTTCTTCTTCTCCAAGCTCGTGGCAACCGATTATCCATATGATCCCAATCCTTCCAAATGTGTTAGTGCCAACTTCACTCGCTTTTTATACTCCTTGAGCAGGTCTAAGGCGAGCCATCTTTATCCACAACATGTCCATCGTCACGGTAGTAGGAACGTCCATATCCCTCGTCCATCTTGAAGACTCTCTGGTAGCGTATGGGCTCTTTTTGTCGTCCTGTGAGTGTTCGGCTACACCCACGATCGGTACCACAGCTCCGCGATACAAGTCTGAACGTGAAATCGATGTTTTCACTCCTGCACACGGTATGCTCCCGCTGGCTCGCGGGCCGTTACTGCTGTCGGCTACGCCGGGGTGGCAGCGGTCAACCAGTACGTGTGAGCCTAAAGCTCAAAAGGCCGGCGTGCGAGCCACACAGCCACGGGGCATAAAAAGGGTGAGAAAGTACGAGCACACAGAGGGAGGGGAGGCAAGCGGACAGGAGAGGGGAGAGGCTAGGCGGGCTTCCCGGGAGGGGGCTCAGGGACTCACAGGGCCCTCACGGGGTTCAGACGTTTCCTCCAGGAAATCTCAGACATATCTTCATTATCGCAATTATCGTCATTATCGTCGTTGGCGTCGCCGTCGTCTTCGGCAGCGGCGGTGTCGGCGTCGGCGTCGGCGTCGGCGTCGGCGTCTGCGTTGGCGTCGGCGTCGTCGTCGTCATCATCGTCATGGTCATCGTCATCGTCGGCGTCGTCGGCATCATGATTGTCATCGTCGTCGTCGTCAATCACCGTTTTGCACACCTCTCACACGCTTCGTGGCCTACCAGGAAGCTCCACCAGAATGCCGAATAGCAAAGGCCCGCATGGCGTCACCCCGATCATTTTGGCGCAACCCTCAAACGTTTCGCGGCCCCATCGGGAGCTCCACCGGAGGACAATTTGACAAGGCCCACACGGCGTCACCCCGCCCAAATCGGCACACCCCTCACACGTTCCAGGGCCACATAGGGAGCTCCATCGCAGGCCCCAGTGGCAGGGCCAGCATGGCGTCGCCACCCCATTTCGGCACACCCCTCACACGCTTCGCGGCCTCATCGAGAGCTCCACCGAAGGCCGAAATGCCAGGGCCCACACGGCGTCACCCCGCCCAAATCGGCACACCCCTCACACGTTCCAGGGCCACATGGGGAGCTCCATCGCAGGCCCCAGTGGCAGGACCAGCATGGCGTCACCACCCAATTTCGGCACACCCCTCACACGCTTCGCGGCCTCATGGAAAGCTCCACCGAAGGCCGACATGCCAGGGCCCACACGGCGTCACCCAGCCCATGTCGGCACACCCCTCACACGCTTCGTGGCCCCATAGGGAGCTCCACCAAAAGGCAAAATGCCAGGGCCCGCATGGCGAACCCCCGCCCGCGTCGGCACACCCCTCACACGCTTCGTGGCCCCATAGGGAGCTCCACCGAAGGCCCCGGCCCCATAGAAGAGGCTCCGCCGAAGGTAGAAATGCCAGGGCCCGCATGGTGTCGCCCCGCCAGTTCTGGCGCACCCCTGACACGCTTCGTGGCTTCGAAGGGAGCTCCACCACCGAAGTACCAGCGCAGCGGCAGGCTTCGCATGGCGGCGCCGCCTCCGTTTCTGCACACCCCTCGCACGCTTCGTAGCCCATCATCCTTTTCCTCATTTCACCTGACTTAAGGAGCTCACACCTGCATAATTATGGTTGGGTCCTTCGCCAGAATGCTTGTTTTCTCCCAGCTGTCCAAAGCAAAATGGCTCCCGAAGATGGACCCGAGACGGTCCAGGACGGCCCCAGGAGTGCCCCAAGACAATCCAAGAAGGCTTAACACAGAGGGGTCCAAGACGGCCAAAGAGCCCAACGACGGCCCAAGAGAGTCCAAGACAACCGAAGAGAGCCCAAAGACAGCCCCAGAGTTCCCCAAGAAGGGCCACAGAGGGCCCCAAGAGACTTCCAAGAATGCCCGAAAGAGGGGCCCAAGAGGGCCCCAAGGTAGCCCCAAAACGGCCCAAGAGAGAAGTCGTCGAGAAGGTCAGGAAGGCTCCAAGACTATCCCACGAGTCCCCCCAAGAGGCACCAAGACCCCTTTCAAGAGTCGAGAGGCTCCCAAGAGACCCAGCTTCTCGGCCAAAGGGGGCGGCGGTGTCTCGGAGGAGGCAACTTAGACAGTTTATGCTTGCAAGCTCCTAAAACGTAAGCAATGGGGATCGAATTCAAACTGGAGGCAACACGCCCTCAGCCCAGAGGACCAGGGGGACGCGAGGCGAGACTCCGCAGCGCTGCCTGGGCGTCCGGTCGACTTGGTCGGGAACGACGGCCGCTGTGGGCAGAGCCGCAAAGAAAAACGGAAGAAGAAAGAACTGCACGGGCATGAAGTTTCGGAGGGCCGCGCCGACTTTTTGGATTTGGGCTGTACCCCCCTCCGCCACGCGCGGAGCGCGCCAGGGGCGGCGCTGGAGGCGCCGCCAGAGGGGTCCAGCGCCGATCAAAAAAAGCCGCGCGGACCTTCAAAAGTTTACGTGTGCTGTTGTTTGTTCTTCGAGCAGCGCCAGCAGCAATGCTCGAGACGAGGCCGCGAGCCAGAAGCTGCTTCTTCTGCTCTGCGCTCTGCGCCGGGCTCGCGTCGGCAAAGACCTGACTTTGAGGCCGAGCCCCCTGCGAAAGCTCCGGCGGAACCGTGAGCGCGCGACGCCTATCTGGCTTCTGCAGCGCAGCAGCCGCCCCCAGCGCGCTGGCTAGGCGCTGCGGTTGCTGGCGCCGCGCGCTGCGGCGGCGTCCTGCTGGCGTGGCAGCGCTGCTGTTCCACGTGCGCTGTGCGATGCGGCGACGTCGTCGTCCTGCTGGCGTAGCGGCGCTGCCACTGCCCCGGCGTGGCGATGCTGCCGCTCTGAAGCGAGGTCGCCTGCCCGGGTGATGCCAGAGTGGGAGTGCGCCAGGTATACACCTGCACCGATCCTGACCAGGCCGATCCTCGGCCCAGGACGGGTGCATGTGTACAGTTGGCGCCCTCCGACAGAGGTGTCCCTGGCCTGGCCTGGGGCGCCCCCAGGACTTCCCGAGGCCGCCCCCACACCCTCCGGAGCACCCCTCACGGGGCCCCGAGGGCCCCCAGGGGCTCCCCAGTGAGCAGGCAGCTGGGGGGCCCTGTCGGCACGCCCGCAGTAGGCACGGAAACAAGGTTCCGTGGCGAGCCCAGGCCCCGCAGCCTTCTGGCAAGGCCTGTCCCCTCGCACTTCCCCCCCGGGCTCGCCGCCGAAAGGTGGACGATGCTCAACATCAGGTGTTGTCCAGAACCGACCGCGTCCGCTGTCGGACAAGCGCCGCTCGTTCCAACAGTAGACAACTCCCGCGGCGACGGCGACAGCGAGTCCTCTTCAAAGTCGTCAGGATCTGCTGCTGGTCTTCGCCACCAATCTTTCCGTACCCACTTCGATCGTACTGAACCTTCCCAGACATGTAACCGCTCGAACTTTTCGAGACATGGCACCCTGACCTCTCGGCCCCTTCCCTTGGGCTGACGCCTCATCGCGAATCGTTTTTGACCCCAGAGCCCGAACCCGGCTTCCAGGAGCCGAGAATTGAAAAAAGCTGGCCGTCCCGATGTTGGTTCGACCCGCCAGGTGTCTAGGGTGTGCCAGGGGCAGCTCGTGAGCATCCTTTCACCGATGCTCATCCCCACTGGCATGGCATTGGCCCCGCTGGGCGATTTACCCAGCAGGTGGGGACAGATGCTGCTCTCTCCAGGTTTCGCGGGACCTGTCCCCAGGTGGGACGTGGGCTGGTGGGGCTGAGATACCATAGCTCTGTTCGAGGCCTCCCAACTGGGGTCCGTGCAGATGGGGTCGGAGGATCGCGCCGCATCGCCAATGCATCGCCAATGCATCGCCGATGCATCGCCGATGCATGCATCGCCGATGCAACGGCGATGCAACGGCGATTCAGCGGGGATGCATCGGCGACGACAGCGATGCATCGGCGACGACAGCGATGCATCGGCGCCGTCGACGTGGATAAAATCGGGCTCCAGGTCGACCCGCAGAATCAGGCGATGCATCGGCGATGCGGCGCGATCATCCGACCCTATCGACTCGGACCCCACCTGGGAGGCCTGGACCACTGGGAAATGGGAATCGGTTCGACGACGCTGAAGGTTAGAAGGGCCCCAGGGTGGACCTGGGAAAATCGGTCAAGAGGCGTCTGCGCTGGATGGGCCCTGGGAAAATCGGTCGAGAGGGGTGGACGAAGGCAAATCAGCTAAAAATCGGTCACACGAGCAGATTCCAGCTGTGGCGAAAAGGGGGCATCTTTCTCCCCCCGTTCTGCTGGCCAGAACCGGCCGGCTGCAACATCGTGAAAAATCCCGACCAAAGCCCCGGACCTCATCTTTCTGCGCCATGTTTCGAGGCGGGTCGATCTGTGAGGGTCCTGGGGCCCGAAGCCGAGGCGCCAGTATTTCAGGGCTCGCTGGCGCCAATGTAAACTTAACCCCCTGCCCCACCAGCCGGCACCAAGCTGAGGGCTCAGAAAATCCCCCCAGCTGGCCGCGTGAGAGCCCAGGGCTGCCGCACTCTGGGGGACGCAGCCTGCAAATGAAAAAACGAAAGAATGCTACAATGAGCTCAATGAAAACCAAAAATGTTGCAAAAACGGTTGCTCCCGCGGGCAAAATTCAAAAACCCTTCCCTGGGAGCAAAAAATGCCTGATTCCAGTGAGCAAAGCTTCCTGCCTTCAGCGAGCAACAGCTGCGGCCCTCAGTGAAAAAATATGCCTTCATTGAAGGCTTCAGCAAGCCCCCCGAGGTGCCCGTGTGAGGGTCCGGGGCTGCCGCACTCTGGGGCGCGCAGCCGCGCCGGCGGTGCTCGCAGCAGAAGGCCAGCTTGTCGGGCGCCCAGCTCCTGCGGGCGCCTCTCTCGGTGCCGTCCCAGTCCGCGTCGCAGTCGAAGAGCTCCTGCTGGAGGCTTCCAGAAGCTTGCGCTGGCCCTTCGAGTCGAGGAAGAAAAAAAGCGGCATAGATGTAACATTCGGAGTTCCGAGCGGACTGTTCTTGGATCTGCGCTGAACCCCGTGGCGGCGCCTCCTGCGCCGCCCCTGGCGCGCTCCGCGCGCCACGGAGGGGGTCCAGCGCCGATCCAGGAAATCCGTGTAGAGGCCTCCCAAATGAGGTCGACGCAGATGGGGTCGGAGGATCGCGCCGCATCAGCAATGCATCGGAGATGCGGCTAGACATCGATCCTGGTTTTGTCCACGTCGACGGCGCCGATGCGACGCCGACGCATCGACGATGCATTGAAATGCGTGTGCCAGCACGTCTAGTTCTGCGCGCAGCCGCCGTAGTCCGTCGTCCTCGTCCTCGTCAACGTCGACCGTTATCGTCGACCATCGACGTCGTCGTCGTTGCCCTTGTCGTCGTCGTCGTCGTAGTCGTCGTCGCCGTTCTCGCCGTCCGTCGTCGTCGTCGTCCGTCATCGACGTCGTCGTCTTCGTCGTCTTCAACTGTCATCGACCGAAACCGACAGCCGTCGTCGTCGCCGAAGACCGTCGTCGTCGTCGTCGCAGCACTCGTCGTCGTCGTCGTCGTCGACCGTGGGCTTTGTCGACGTGGACCATCCTCGGCCGTCCTCGTCGTCGTCGACCGTCGTCGTCGTCGACTCTCGTCATAGTCGTCGTCGCCGTCATCGTCGCCGACCGTCGTCGTAGTTGTCATCGTCGTGGTCGCCGTCGTCGACCGTCGTCATTTTCGTCGTCGTCGTCGACCGTCGTCACCATCGTCGCCGCCGCCGTCGTCGTCGACGTCGACCGTCGTCGTCGTCCGCGTCGACCGTCGTCGTCGTCGTCCATTGTCGTCGACACCGTCGTCATCCACCGAGGTCGTCGTCGTCGTCGTCGTCCGTCGTAGTCGTCATCGCCGTCGTCTTCGTCGTCATCGCCGTCGTCGCAAGCGTGGTCGTCGACAACTGCCGACCGTCGTCGTCGCCGTCGTCGTCGCCGCCATCGTCGTAGTCGATGTTGACCGTTGTCGGAGTCGACGACGCCGCCGTCGTCGACCGTCGTCGTCGTCGTCATTTTCGTCGTCGTCGTCGTCGAGAGCCGTCGTCGGCGTCGTCGTCGTCGTCGCCGTCGTCGTCGTCGACCGTCGTTTTCGTCGTCGTCGGCGCGGTCGTCGTCATCGACCGTCATCGCCGTCGTCGCCGTCGTCGACGACCGTCGTCGTCCCCGTCGTCGTCGTCCTCGTCGTCGCCGTCGTCGTCGCCGTCGTCGACCCTCGTCAAGCGTCGTCGTCGACGTCGTCGTCGTCGACCGTCGTCATCGTCGTCGTCGTCGAGGGTGGTAGTCGCTGTCGTCGACGACCGTCGTCGTCGTCGTCGACAGTCGTCGTCATCGTCGTCGTCATCGACCGTCGTCGTCGTCGTCGTCGATCGTCGTCATCGTCGTCGTCGTGGTCGAGGGTGGTAGTCGTCGTCGTCGACGACCGTTGTCGTCGTCGTCGACAGTCGTCGTCATCGTCGTCGTCATCGACCGTCGTCGTCGTCGTCGGCAGATGTCGTCGACCGTCGTCATCGTCGTCGTCGTCGTCGTCATCGACCGTTGGCCGTCGTCCCCGGCGTCGTCGACGCCGTCGTCGTCGCCGCTATCGTCGTCGTCGTCGTCATCGACCGTCGTGGTCGTCGACCGACGTCGTCGTCGTCGCCATCGTCGCCGGCGTCGTCGTCTTCGACCCTCGTCGTCGTCGTCGACGACCGTTGCTGTTGTCGTTGTCGACGGTCGCCGTCGTGGTCGTCGTCGTCGTTCCCATCGTCGTCGTCGACGTCAACGCCGTCGTCGTCGTTGACCATTGTGGCCGGCGACGTCGTCGTCGTCAACCAGCGTCGAAGCCGTCGTCGTCACCGACCGTCGTCATCGTAGTCGTCGTCGTCGAACGTCATCGTCGTCGTCGCCTTTGACCGTCGTCGCTGTCGTCGACGTCGCCGACGTCGTCGCCGCCGTCGTCCTCGACCGTCGTCGTCGTCGTCGTCGTCGTCGCAGTCTTCGTCGTCGTCGTCGTCGTCGTCGACGCCGTCGTCGTCAATGACCATCGTCGTCGCCGTCGACGCCGTCGTCGTTGACCATCGTCGCTGGCGTCGCCGTCATCGACCGTCGTCGTCGTCGTCATCGTCGACGGTCAACGTCGTCGCGTCGACCGTCGTCGTCGTCACCGCCGTCGTCGCAGTCGTCGTCGTCATCGTCAACTATCGTCGTCGTCGCCGTCGACCGACGTCGTCGCTGTCATCGTCGCTGGCGTCGTCGTTGTCGGCAATCGTCGACGTCGTCGACGACCGTCGTCGTCGTCGTGAACGTCGTCGACCGTCGTCGGAGTCGTCATCGTCGTCATCATCAGCGTCGTCGCCGTCTTCGTCGTCGTCGTCGACCGTCGTCGTCGTTGACCATCGTCGGCGTCATCGTCGACACTCCTCGTCGTCGTCGACCGTCGACCGTCGTCGTCGGCGTTGTCGAAGGTCAACCGTCGTCGCCGTCGGCATCGCCTTTGTCGTCCTCATTGTCGACGCCGTCGTCGTCGTCGTTGGCCAAAGGCGCCGGCAATGTCGTCGTTGTCGATGAGCGTCGTCGTCGCCGTCGACCGTCGTCGTCGTCGTCGTCGTCGTCGACCGTCGTCGTCGTCGTGAACGTCGTCGACCGTCGTCGTCGTCGTCGTCGGCGTCGTCGTCGTCGCCGACCGTGGTTGACCATCGTCGCCGGCGTCGTCGTAGACCATGGTCGTCGTCGACCGTCGACCGTCGCAGTCGCCGTCGTCGTCGTCGTCCACCGTCGTCGTCGTCGTCGACCGTCGACCGTCGTCGTAGTCGTCGTCGTCGGCGCTGTCGTCGTCGTTGACCATCGTAATGGGCGTCGTCGTCATCGTGGACCATCGTGGTCGTCGTCGTCGTCGATCGTCGCCGTCGTCGTCGTCGTCATCAGCGTCGTTGTCGTCGTCGTCGACCATTGGTCGTCGACGCCGTCGTCGTCGTCGTCGCCGTCGTCGTCGCCGCGGCCGTCGTCGGCATGGTCGTCGTCGTCGTCGACCCTCGTCGTCGCCGTCGCGGTCGTCGTCGTCGTCGTCGTCGTCGCCGTCGTCGTCGTCGTCGTCGACGGTCGTCGTCGTCGTCTTCGTCGTCGTAGTCGTCGACGTCGACCGTCGTCGCCGTCGTCGTCGTCGCCGACGCCGTCGCGTTCGTTGGCCATCTTCGCCGGCGTCGTCGTCGTCGTCATTGACCATCGTCGCCAGTTCCGTCGTAGCCGTCGTCCCCACCGCCAGCGACGCCGCCTCCGTCGTCTTTGTCGACCGTCGTTGTCGTCGTCCTCGACAGACGTCGTCCATATCATCGTCGTCGCCTGTGTCGTCGTCGTCGTCGACCATCGTCGTCGTCGTCGTCGTCGACCGTCGTCGTCGTCGGCGCCGTCGCCGTCGTCTTCGTCGTCGCCAGTGTCGTCGTCGGCGCCGTCGCCGCCGCCGACCGTCGTCAGCGTCGTCGTCTACCGTCGTCGTCGCCGCCAACGTCGTCGTCCCCATCGTCGCCGCCGTCGTTGACCATGGTCGCCGGCGTCGTCGTCGTCGTCGCCCGTCGATGATCGTCGTCGTCGTCGTCGTCGTCGACCGCTGCCGTCGCCCTCGACCGTCGGTCGTCTCCGTCGTCGTCGACCCGTCATCGTCGTTAACCATCGTGGCCGACGTCATCGTCTACGTCGTCGTCGTCGACCGTTGTCGTCGTCGTCGTCAGAATCGTCGTCGTCGACTGTCGTCGTCGTCGTCGCCATCGACCTCCGTCGTCATCGCCGCCGTCGTCGTCGTCGTCGTCGACGTCGTCGTCGACCGGCGTCGTCGTCGCCGTCGTCGCCGCCACCGTCGTCATCGTCGACCGTGTCCTGTGACTCGGCTGCCCTCGCCGACGGTTCGGCCTCGGCCGCGCCGCCAGCTGGCGAGGGTGCTGGCGCCGCCAGCGGCCTCATCGCGGTTGGCGTCACCAGCGCGACCGGCGCCTCTGGCGGCCCAGCCTGCGGGGCAGCACACGGTGCGGTCCCATCTCCCCACCTTCGGTGACCACTCATGAAAGCCTCCCATGCCATCATCTTAGCTCTTGCGATACGACGCTAGATCGACGCCCATCGACACTAATCGAAGCTGGATCGACGCTAGATCGGCGCAAATCACAGCTAAAGCCGCGCTGTCCCATCAATTACACGACGCTAATCGACGCTAACGCACTGTAAAGACGGAATTACGAGGGTACACAAGGCACCCATGATTTGCTACCTAACCCACTCTCGACCCTCCCTCTGCGCTGACACGACCTTGCGGACATTCTTCAATCGCGCCTTCGCCTACAGGCAGAATCCTGAGGTAGCAAAGCGAACCAAGAAACTTCTCGAGGCGAAACCCGCAAATCTCCAGTGAAACCCGAAAATCTGGAAGGAGCGAAACCTGGAAACCTCCCCAAGCCCGAAACCCAAAAACCCAAGAGAAGCCAAACCCGAACAGATAGGAGCGGCCATCTCCGCCGCGCCCAGCAGCCCGAATTCGCACGGCTGACGATCCCGAAACCCCCGACCGCGCGGGAAGGCCAGAGAACGCAAGGCCAGGCGCTACTGTGAAACGGCGGCAAGCTCTGCGAAGCCCCTCCCGCCTGAGACTTCCTCGCCCGCCCGCGCGGGCGCGCCCGCTCGCGCGCCGGCCCGCCCGCCGACGCGTGCGTCCGCCCGCGCGCCCGCCCGCGCACCCGCCCGCCTTTTTGCCCGCCCGCCCACGCGCCCGCCCGCCCGCAAACGTGCGCGCCCGCTCCACCCGCCCGCCCTCCCGCGCGCCCGCTCCCCGTCCGTCTCCCACATCCCTCTCTCTGTCTCCCCCGGGGTGGCCACCAAGCCGCGCCCGCGCGATCAGGCGCGCGGCAGAAAAACTCATTCCCCATCACCCCCTCCCTCCTCCACTGACCCGACGAATTCGTTCCTCCTCCACTCCCGAACCCTGCCTGCCCCCCTACCACCACTGTGCCGGCGATGTCCTCACCCCAGGGATGTCTGAGAACCGACATCCTCCTCCTCCTCCTCCCTCCTCCTCCTCCTCCCCCTCCTCCTCCTCCTCTTCCTCCTTGTGCTCCTGCTCCTCGTCCTCCTCCCCTCCCCGCTTAGGAAGGAAGTACAACCTGAAACCCGGCATCTACTCTTTGATTTGGCGCAGTCGCACAATGCGTTGCCTTGCATTGCACTGCGTTCCTCTTCCTCCTTCCGCCCCCCTCCTCGTTCGTCCTCCAACTCTCCTCCTCACTCCTTCCCGTCCTCCTCGTCCTCCTTCCGATCCTCCCTCCTCCCCCTCCTCCCTCCTCCCACCTCCGCGCTCGTCCTCCCACGCCTCCTACCCCTCTCCTCCCTCCTCCCTCCTCCTCACTCCTCCTCCTCCTCCCTCCTCCCTCCTCCTCCCTCCTCCTCCTCCCTCTCCTCCCTCCTCCTCCTCCTCCTCCTCCTCCTCCTCCTCCTCCTCCTCCTCCTCCTGCTCCCTCATCCCTCTTCCCTCCTGCTTCCTCCCCACTCACCCCCCTCCCTCCTCGTTCCTCCCTCCTCTTCCCTCCTCCCACGTCCCTCTACTCGGCGCGCGGCGACGCATGCCGGGCGCAACGCGGACGACGACGACGACGACGACGACGAGAAAGACAAAGACAACGACGGACGACAATGACGACGACAATGACGACGACAATGACGACGACGACAACGGCGACACGACGACGACGACGTCCGAGACGACGACGACGACGACGACGACGACGACGACGACGACGACGACGACGACGACGACGACCACGACCACGACCAAGACCAAGACCACGACCACGACCACGACCACGACCACGACGACCACGATGACGACGACGCCGACGACGGCGACGACGGTCGACGACGACGACGACGACGACGACGAAGACGACGGCGACGGCGCCGACGACGACGACGGTCGACGACGACGACGACGACGACGACGACGACGACGACGACGACGACCACGACCACGACCACGACCACGACCACGACCACGACCACGACCACGACCACGACCACGACCACGACCACGACCACGACCACTGTGACGACGCCGCCGCCACCGCCGCCGCCGACGACGACGACCACAATGACGACGACGAAGACGCCGCCCGCCCGCCCGCCCGCCTAACCGCCCGCCCGCGGGCCCGTACGCGTCCACTCGCGCGCCGGCCCGCCCGCCGACGCGTGCGTCCGCCCGCGCGCCCGCCCGCGCGCACCCGCCCGCCTTTTTGCCCGCCCGCCCACCCGCCCGCCCGCCCGCCAACGTGCGCGCCCGCTCCGCCCGCCCGCCCGCCCGCTCGCCAGCTCCCCGTCCGTCTCCCGCCTCCCTCTGTCTCCCCCGGGGTGGCCACCAAGCCGCGCCCGCGCGATCAGGCGCGCGGCAGAAAAACTCATTCCCCGTCACCCCCTCCCTCCTCCACTGACCCGACGAATTCTTTCCTCCTCCACTCCCACCCAGAAACCCAGAACGTACAAGTTGGGCAAAGGTCGCCACTAGCAGCTCCATCTCGCTGGAACCCACAAGGCGATGGCGAAGCTGCATCCATGCAAGTCAGTCCACCTACATGGACTCTACAGGGTACTAGCCATTCTCTGTCAATATGTTGGTGGGGTGAAAGACGCGACACAATGTCATGAAGAGAGAGGCTGGCCCTAGTGTCGCCGGTCATCATGCCGTAGGCGACCCACCCCACCAGCGTCAAGAGAGCTGCTATCGTGGTGAATCCTCCGATTTGCCTGCCATTGGCGGATGCAATAGGCAAGAAAGACTTGACTGCCACTCAGAAGTATGAGGATCTGGCTGGCTCGGGTAATCCCGCGGGAATGGCAAATCTCGGAATCCCGTCTCCGAAAACTCTGCGGGAGGGGGCGGCATATGCTAGAACCCTGTCTACATCAGCGGCAGCCACTGCTGGGCCATCAGACCTTCGCGTGCGTGGGTGCTGCTGGCGCCTTCCAACACATCCATAGCAAGTTCTGCCCCAGCCATAGATCGGCCACTGAGCCTACACTGGCAGGGATAGCGCAAAATCAGAGAGGCTCGTGCAATCCGTGTTGCCTTCTTGCTCCCCGCTGCACTCAAGCCACGACGCCAGTCTTGCGGATCACCCGCCGCCGGCCCTGCGGCACGCTGGAGCGTGCCGGAATGCTTGTTCGTTGTCTGGTGAGTGTCCTTTGATTCTTCTCTCGGGCACGCGCTGCCGTGAATTAAAGATCCGTGGATCTGGCGCGTGGGCGCCAGATCAACGGACTGCGGAAGGTAACCCCAGAAACGCGAGGACAATGCCGCTCGATGTGGCGACGGAGCACACCGACTTCACATGGAAACGGGACCAGTCACCCGTCGCTAGTCCACGTGCCCTGATCCATGTCTTAGTCTCCTCGATTCTACAGCCGACCCCCCCACACTCTTGGCGCAGTCCGGTTCCTGGTGATGCTACCCGACGCCCTTTTTCGGCCTGCAGGTGCCTCCAAGACAGCCAAAGACCGCTCCGAGAAGGCTGCAAGACGCCCCAAAAACCATCTCAAGACGGCCCAACGAGCCCCCCACAGACTACAGTCATCGTGCTATCAGAAGGAACGCTACATAAGGAACGAAGGGACTATTCTAGCCACGGCGAGCGTCGGCCACGAGTGGCTTCCCAGACCTAGAGATCCACGGCGCGGCCCGAAGAAACCAAAGACCCTCCTGAGCCCCCAAAGTCGTCCTTACTTCAGCGTCTTGGTTAGTAAGTTTACCTGGAACTGTCCCAAGAAGTCCCCAGGAGACGCTCAAAGAGGCCTCCAGCGAGGCTCTCGGAAGTAAAAAAAAAATCGCCTGCCCAACGGGCCAAGGGCGTGCTCAGATCCTCGGTAGCTGGTTAACGATATTTCTAGCTCGCGCGCGCGGGGCCGCCCCCAGGGGTCCCTGGACGAAAAATACCCCGGCAAGGTCCTGGCAAGGTCCCCGCAAGTTCCTGCGAGGTCCCAGCAAGTCCCGGCAAGGTCCTGGCAAGGTCCTGTTAAGGTCCTGGCAAGGTCCCAGGCAGGTCCCGGGCAGGTCCCGGGCAGGTCCCGGCCAGGCTCCCAAGAGCGCTCCAGGAGCGCTTCAAGTGGCCTCCAAGAGAGCTCAACATGGTCCGAGACGGTCCAAGAGCGACCCAAGACGCCGCCAAAGATGGCCTCCAGACAGCCAAAGTGCCTCCAAAACGCCCCAAGAGGCCTCCAAGAGACCACCCAAGAGGACCCACAGAGGCAGAAATTAGTGATTTCCCTTAGCTTTTGAAGGTTTTTGGCGTTCTCGCCTTTTCGGCTTACTGGCGCTCCAAGACGGCCCAAGAGGCGTCCAGGATCGCCCCAACACGGCCCAAGAGGCCTCCAAGAGCGCCCAAAACGGCCCCAGAGGGCCCGAAGACACCCCAAGAACCCTCCAAGATGGCCGAAGAGGGTCCCAAAACGGCTCCAAGAGCGGGCCCAGACGAGGGACCCGAACGGACATTTCGAGCTCTAGGCGCAGAGAGGTCCCCTGGAGGCCCCAAAAGGCCCGTAAGAAGCCCCCAAGAGGCCCCCGAGAGGCACCAAGAGACCCCCAAGAGGCCCCCAAAAGGCCCCCGTGACGCCCCAGGAGGTCCCAGAAATACCGCCAAAAGGCCCAAAAATAAGCTCCAAGAGGCCCACAAACGGCCTTCAAGAAGCCACGAACGCGCAAGCAAACGCCTGCGATGGCACAGTACGGGCCGGCGGAGTAAGCGAAGCGATTAAGTCCGCCGGCCCTGTCGGCGTGTGTGGGGTGTTTGTCCAGTCCCGTCGACGGGGAGCCTTCTTTCGCCCCCTCCTTCCCATCCTCCTCTCCCGTCGGGGGAGAGAGAGAGAGAGAGAGCACCCTTCCTCGTTCGGGGAACGGCTTCGCAGCTCGAGGGAATTTCATCCACGTCCTACTTACATCAAAGGGAAGTCCCTTCCCTTTGTCCATTCCCCGGGGGGGGGGGTCCCGGGAGGGGAGGGGGTCAGATTCGCATCGCCTTTGGCGGTCCACCTCTCCCAAGCCAGTCCTTCTCCTCTCCGGCACGCCCGTCATCGGGTCCTCCTCCCCAGGTGGGGAGGAGTCCCAGGGGGGGAGGGGAGTCAGATACGCATCCGTACTTGGGGATCCTCCTCCCCTTTCCCCCTCCCCTCCCCTCTCCCACGCTAGTCCTCCTCTGGTCCTCCTCCCCAGGGGCGGGGGCCCAGGAGTCCTGTTCCTCCTCCTTTTCCTCCTCGTCCTCCTCCTCCTCCTTCTCGCCCTCCTCCTCTCCTCCCCCTCCTCCTCCCCCTCCTCCTCCTCCTCCTCCTCCTCCTCCTCCTCCTCCTCCTCCTCCTTATCTCCGCCTCCTCCTCCTCCTCCTCCTCCTCATCATCCGCCTTCTCCTCCTCCTCCTCCTCCCCCTCCTGATCGTCGATGTCTTTCAAGGTCGGCGGCACCAGCCGTCAGGCCTGCACAATATTGAAAATCCTACTGCCGATCAATTCGGTTTGCTTCCAAATCTGTTCGGCTGAAGATCGCCTCAGAACAGATTCAGAGAGCCGCAAGAAGCCCCGAGACATCCTAAGGCCGCCTCAAGAGCGGCCCAAGACAGCCCCAGAAGCGCATGTTTCGGCTTCACGACGGCTCCAAGACAACCAAAGACCGCCCCAAAAAAATGCTAATCGGAAGACGCCCAAAGACCATCCGAAGGCGACCCAAAGAGCCCACTCCGAGGTCTCCCCAGAAGTCCCCAAGAGACACCCGAAGAGGCCTCCTGCGAGGCCCTCAGAAGCAAAAAAACTTTCGAAACATAATGAAAATCAGTATTTGCGTCCTCGCGGCTGTTCGGTTTCAGATCCCCTTAGCAAAATTCCAAAGATCCCAAAGAGGCCGCAATACTGCCCAAGACGGCCCCAGGAGCGTACGGTTCGGCTTCAAGACGGCTGCAAGACAGCCAAAAAGAGCCCTCAAACGACTAGTTCGAGGACGCCCCAAGACCATCCAGTCACGGCTCAACTGGCCCCTACGGTCATCGTGCTACCATAAGGAAAGCTGATTGAGGAACCAAGGGACTCTTCATGCCCACGGCGTTCATCGGCCACGAACAGGCTCTACGACCTAGATCTAAAGAGCGACCCGAAAACCAGAGCCCCTTCTGAACCCAAAGCGGCTCGTATTTCAGCGTCTTGACTGCGCAGGATCGAAAAACCTCCCAAGATGCTCCAAGAGGCCCGAATTCGCCGGCCCAACGGGCCAGAGGCGTGCTAAGATCTCTGGCAACTGCCTTACAGTATTTCCTACTTCGCGCGCGCGGGGCGGCCCCCGGGGGTCCCCGGACGAAAAGTACCCTGGCCGGTTCGCGTCAGAGATGATTTTCCTTCTGGGCGCCGTCCTTCAAGACGGTCGAAGAGGACTCCCAGTCGTCGAACGACTGGTCCAAGACGCCCAATGTGGCTTTCGGATGGCACAAGACGCCTTTCAAACGCCCCGCGAGGCCACCAAGAGCCATCCCAAGAGGGCCCCCACACGCAACCGAAGCGGCCCCAGAGGGCAAGAAGACAGCCCAAGAACCCTCCAAGACCGGCGAGATTGAAATCAGGATCACAAGAGTTTAAAATCAACATCTAAAACTTGTTACCCTGGCCATGAAGTGAAAAATTCTAATCTGGATTTGAAACTTGGTAAAACTGGTCAGAGTGAAGATTGTGGTGAAGATTTCATCAAAATCTTCACCAACATCTTCATCGATCTTCACCAACATCTTCAAATCTTATCCTCCCTGTCCTCCTCCTGGACCTCTTCCTCCTCCTCCCTGCTCTTCGCTTCGCCCCGTTCCTCCTCCTCTGCCCCGCTCATTCCTGGTCCTCGCTCCTCTTCTTCGCTCTTCGCTCCACTCTGATCCTCCTGTCCTCCCCTTCCTCTTCCTCCTCCGTCTCCTCCTCGCTACTCTCCGTCTTGCTCTCCCCCTCCTCCTCCTCCCCCTCCTCCTCCTCCTCCTCCTCCTCATCCTCCTCCTCCTTCTGCTCCTTCTCAGGGGGGATGAGGCGAACTGCCTTACAAGTAAACTTGCCAGGACCTGCAGAAAACAGGCTCCGACGCGAGGAGGTTTTTCAGAAGGAGAAGGAAAGGGCGGAGGAGGAGGAGGAAGAGGAGGAGGAGGACGACGACGACGAGGAGGATTGGGGGAGGTGGGGGAGGAGGAGAAGGAGGAGGAGGAGGAGGAGGAGGAGGGAGGAGGGAGGAGGAGGAGGAGTGAAGCAGCAGCAGGAGCAGGAAGAAGAGAAAGTCAGGGTCCAAGAAACCCGCCCGGATCTCAGGCCACAGCCAACCTTTGCGCCAGAAGCCAAACCCTGGCCCCACAGGGTGTCCATCGAAGCCTGGCACCGGGAGGCAAAATTATCCGTGCCTCCTCCTCCTCATCATCCTCCTCCTCCTCCTCCTCTTCCTCCTCCTCTTGCTCCTCCACCTCCTCCTCCCTCCTCCTCCTCCTCCCTCCTCCTCCTCCTCATCATCATCATCATCATCATCATCATCATGATCAGCATCATCATCATCATCATCATCATCATCATCACATCATCATCATCATCATCATCATCATCATCATCATCATCATCATCATCATCATCATCATCATCATCATCATCGTCATCATCATCCATCATCATCATCATCATCAACCACCATCAC